CATCCTCGAACCTGTAACAGTAGGCATTTTTCGGCTCCTGAGGCCTGACTATGAGTAAAATATTAGGCGGGAGTCTCGTCTGCGAGTGACGTGTGAGGAAATCTCCGGCGGGAGTCCCCTTCACATGGGGCCCGCATTTCAAGTTGGCAAACCGAGCGGGTCATCCTCGAACCTGTTATTGTCGTCACTTCTGGGCTCCTGAGGCCTGACTGTGGGGGAAGTATCTGGCGGGAGCCTCGTCTGTGAGTGAATTGCGAGGAAGTCTCCGGCGGGAGCCCCTCGCCCTATGGGGCCCGCGCTTCGTGTTGGTAATCCGACCAGGTCATCCTCGAACCTGTAATTGTCGTCATGTTTGGGGCTCCTGAAGCCTGCACGTGGGGGAAGTATCGGGCGGGAGCCTCGTCTGTGAGTGAACTGTGTGGAAAGTTCAAGCGGCAACCCCCTCCCGATGGGGCCCGCATCCCTCGTGTTTCCTCCGGGTCGTCCTCCGGCGCGCGTTTCCTTTGGGTCGTCCTCTGGCGCGTATCCGCCGGGACGCACGTCGTGCGTTTCCTCTGGGTCGTGTTCCGCACGAAGAGGAGGAGGAAAAGGAGGAGGAAGGAGGATATAATGAGGATGCAGGACGAGAAAGAGAAGCAGGAGGAGGAGGAGGAGAACGCAGAGGGCGAGAAGGACGATGAGGACATGGAAGAAGAGGGGTGCCTTGGGAGGCCCCACGATGTCCCGGATGACTCAAGGAGGCCCCAAGAGGCCCCAAGTGTTTCCAGGAGGAGGCAGGAAACTTAAGGAGGAGGCAGGATGACGGGGAGGCGGAGGAGGGGGGCGAATATGGAAACAAGGATGAGGCGGAGGAGGGAGAGGGAAAAGAGGAAAATGAAGAGGGGAGGCGGAGGAGGAGGAGGAGGACGAGGAGGGACAGCAGCAGGAGGAGAACGCAGGAGGCAGGAGGAGCATGGGGAATGGGGGGAGGACGCATAACGAGGAGGAGGAAGGGGTGGTGGTTGTGGTGGTGGAGAAGGCAAGAGGAGGAGGCAGGAATTGAGGCAGGAGGACGGAGCAGGAGGAAAAGGAGGAGGCAGGAATAGGTGGGAGAAGCGAAGGGCAAGAAGACATCCCCAGGCAACCTAAACATAGTCCCATGCGGGGTCCTACCGTCGGAGTCATTGATCAATGAATGCGCCGCATACTTGATTTGGCGAAGTCTGGGAGGGGGGGGCGTTACCGGCTTGGACGATGAGGCAAAATCGTGTGCAACTTGTAAATCCGACAAGGTGAGTGGTTAAATCCGAAAGGGGACGGGCGGGGGGAGGGGAGGAGGGGGGGGGGAATGGGGGGGGATCCTACTCTTGTAGAAAAGAGAATCTGGGCGATGCGTTCGACGTGGTATAATCCACGCGGTGCAAATGATTTCACAAACGAACTGACATATTCCATGCTTTTGCAAACATCCCACCCACCCACCCGCAACTTGATTTGCAAAAGTCATGCGGCGGCGATTGCGATGAGTGATTGGCGTTTGCTGGTGCATCTCTGCGGCCACGCCAACCCAAGCATGCGCGCAGTGGGCAGGTAGTTTGGCGCGACCGACGCGGGCCGCGGTGGCGCTGACCGCAGGGCACTTTCCAGCGGGCACTTCAGTTCGAGTCGGCGACATCGGCGGGCGCGATATCATGGCAACGTCGACAACGGTTGGCGCGATGATGGTAGTAGCGGTGCTGGTGACGATGTTAGCAACGACAACGGCACGACCACTGACGGCGCCGATGCTGATCACGCCGACGACGATGACGGCGTGTTCGCGTCGGTGGTGGAGGTTCTGGAAGGAGTTCGATATGCGCGCGCGGTCGACGCGCGAGTGGCCCGCATGATGTTATTTGACATGGATCGCGTCCCCCCCCAGCACGCGCACAAGGGCGTTCGAATGGTTTCGGCATGCGGCGCGAGGCCCTTGTTGCAGAATTCCATGAACATGTTCGGTTACCGATGGTTTTCTCAAGATTTCGCCACATCGCGAGCGCAGGATTCTTATTAAACCAAGCGTTGCGAAACCAAGATTGCATGGTTTCGGGACATTCGATTTTGACATCCATCACGAAACCGAAACTTCTCGACTGCATTTCGGCATGCGCGCCGGACGGCGCGCGCGCACTTCGTCTCATTCGATGCATAGGGTTCTAGCGACGGCACGCACGCAAGGGCGTTCGAATGTTTTCGACACGCGCGCAAGAAGCGAGCTTGGTCGCATGTTCTGAAAATGCTGGGAACCCAAAACTGATTTGTCACCAAAGAACTTGTTCTGTGCTTTGCTGCGAAACCATGTGTTCGTATATTGGTTTGAATGTAATGGTTGAACTCCTTACGACAGCTGAGGTTATTACATTGATTTCGGAATGCGCACGCGACGCCGCGCGCTTGCGCACTTCGTCCCATATTTTGCCAGGGACTTTCAAAAGCTGGTGATTTTTGATAAACGAGTGCGAACGCATAGTACGTTTTGCAAAAGATGGCAGGGGGGGTCAATACCGTCTCCACTGGGATGGTACGAATTCGTACTTAGGATGGACGATGGGGGAGGATCGTATGTAACTTGCGATACAAAATTGGGGGCCGATAATCCCGGGAGGCGGGGGGGGGGTAGAAACTATCTTCCTTGTGGAAGGAGAACCGACGCGGTTCAATATACTCGATGCAATGTATGTGGTGTATTCGAAATCTATGTTGTGCAGTCTACGTGGTGATATGATATGTTGTGCAATCGATTGAAGTGCAATCAATTAGATTGCAACGGGGGGGCAGGGGATGCAACGGGGCGGCGGCGGCGGTGACGGAACAGGGCGGCGACGGCGACAACATAACCGCCAGACCCCTCTCAGGCCCAGACGACGGGCGACGACGAGGCGGCGACGGCTCCAACATAGCCGCCAGGCTGGCGGTCAGGCCCAAACTACGCGCGGCGACGAGGCGTCGACTGAGCGGCAACGGCGACGACATAGTCGCCAGACCGGCGGTTAGGCTCAGCTCCTTAGAGAGCAAGTAGGAAATCCATGCAAGCACTGGTTGGGGAAGATTCTGGGAAAGCATGCCATGCACATATTGCAATAATTCTGCCCGCGCGCACCTGCTGACATCATGAGGCAAACATGCCGTCTGAACATGCTTGTCCAGACACTGTGAGGCTAATTATGTCACCACGCGATGCATCCGCGTTGATGTGGCATGCGCCCATCGCACAAATCCGCACGAAAGACAGTCCTGCGGGACACATGCGCGCGCCGGAACGAGCGCGTCGACACCGTTTCCAAAGCATTGGTTTTCGAAGCAAGCCGCGATCAACTTGTCAACAACACATGACAAAACCCACAGCACTTCCACAACAAATCCGCCACACTTCTTCAATGAACACCGCCGCCATTATCGCTATTGTCATCCCTCATCACCCTCATCAACGTCGCCGATCGCCGCCAATGCCGCTATCATCACAATCGCCTTCATCACAGACACATTGGCGTCATCAGCCTCATCGTCGTCACCAACATCGACGCCATCACTGGCCTGGCCGTCGTCATCGTCATCATCGACGTCACCATTGCTATTATCGCCATCGTCGTTGCCGCCTTTGTCGATGCCATGACGATATCTCGCCCGCTCAGGACCGCGACCTTTACTGACGTGCCCGCGTGCCAGCTCTGCCTTTGAAACGCGCTGGGCAGTTCCCACCGGTGAGCGCCAGCGCGGCGGCGCCAGCGCAACCTTCGAGATGCGCATGCAACAACCAGGAACCGCAATCGTGCCTGGATGGGCTTGGCCAAACAAGTTGCTGGCGAGTGGGTGAGTCGAGGCCTCCTGGATGGTGTCGGAGTAGATGGGAGCGCAGGATCGCGCCGCATCGACGATACGCATCGGCGACGTCGATGTGAAGCAAATCGGGCTCAAGATCGAGCCGCATCGGCAATGCATCGGCCATACGAAGCGATCCTCCGACTCCATCTTCATCTACTCCGACCCCATCTGGGAGGGTAGAGGGTGAGAGGCCAAACAAGTGTCTGGCGAGCAGTGCAGGTGACGACTTCAAGCTTTGCAGACATTGTGCGCGCTACATAAATTACACCGCATATCTGGCACCACACATATTGCACCACATTGCTGGCACCGCATACACTGGACTTGCGCACCTTGCAGCTCGTGAGTTGTGCGAGGCGATTGCACCAGGGATATTACGCATACAGGGTGCAGTGATGCACTGTCTGGAGTCCACGCTGGCACGCATCAAATTCGCTGGGTGTGGTGTCTTCTCGGGCCGGGCGAAAGGGGGGGATAGCAAAGGGGGGGGTTGAGAATCAGCTCACGCAGCTGATTTTCCCGGCGCCTCCCGGCGCCTCCCGGCGCTGGGAGGCGCCCATGTATCGAGGAATGGGCCCGGCGGCGGGGCCGAAACCAGCTGCATGCAGCAGATGTCGTAAACCCCCCCTTTCCCAATCCCCCCCTTGTCGTCCGGCCCCGATCCTCTCTGCATGTGCACCCGTGGCCTCTCAATCTGGAACTGGGGCCCGCGGCCCTGGACATGGGCCCGACGCCGGCCCAAGGGGGACGCTTGCCGCGGCGATGCCAGGGCACTCGAGAGAGCTCCCCGAGCGCTGGAGCGCCAGGGGTGCCCGAGGGCACCGAGAAGCAGCAGGGCAGCGGAGTCAAGAGGGGATCAAAGAGCCTGGGACCTCGAATGGTGGGAGGACAGTGCTGAGAATTCAGGCAAGCTGGAAGGGCCGATGGTAACCAGCCACGAACGTAAGCATATCCCTAAGATTAGCAAGCCAACAGTCGACGACGATCTCAGGGATGCGCCCTCATAAACGGAGGGAATCCTTAAGATCGGCATCGAGATGAGGCGATGCCAATCATAGGGATAGCGATATGTTCCAGGCTGGTGAGATGGGACACTGATGCAAGCACCTGTCTACAACAACACGAACTCGAGAACACACAACCAGCCGACATGAGGTGTCCTGAGGCTGCACCTCCATGGTGCCCGCGAAGTTGGTGAGGGCCCAGTGCAGCGCCAGGAGGTAGGTCTGGCCGTTCGTCCGAGTCGCCTCGACCCCGTCGCCGGCGCTCTCCCTGGTGACGTGAGCCACCCATCCTTAGGCGGCGAGCGAGGGGGGGGAAGTGAGAAGGAAAAGGCCCTGTAAGAAGGCGGCCGGACTTCTCAAAGCCCTCGCGCTTTCTGACATTTGTTTGTTGTCTTCAGGGACGGATTAGAAAACTTCTCAAAGGCCAGGGAACTTCCGAGCCTTCTGAGAAGGCCTTTTCCTTCTCACTTCCCCCCGGGCTCGCCACCGATCCTTGATCATCTCTGCGCCCTATCCCAACCCAGATACAGGCCATGCCGTGCGCGAGGCACAGAATGGCAGCGAGGGACTGCGCGATGCCGAACAGCAGCGCCGCCTTCTGCGACTTGGCCCGCTGAACGACCAGAGAAAGGAACTTCCTGAGCCGCAAAAGCCTCAGAAACCGTATCATGCGAAGCAGGCGCCATCCCGAAAGCAGACCGGCTCGCCCAGCGAGGATCCACTCTGCCCAGTCAAGGCTGACGATCAGGGCGTCTGGAACCAACCACGAAGAGGCGTACCGCACCCATATCTTTCGCAAAAAAAACTCTTCTGTGCCATTGGGCAGTTGGTAGCCAGTAAAGAGCGTGAAGAAGATATCCAACGTCCAGAACAGCCGCAGCGGCCACTGCATCGCCACGTGGGCGGCAGAGTCGAGCTCCTGGGTTGAGCCGGCCGCAAAGAGAAGAAACTACTACGCTTGCAACCAACGCGCCCTCAATAACTCCTCAACCCGCCCATTCACACCAAACTTGGACAGACATGGATCGTACAACCTCCATCCATTCACGGCGCCACAACCGACATCCCGACGCCACCTCAGCGACACCAGACGCGTCGGGCCACCATGGTGAACTCGCCTGCCAGCGGGGGCCGGCGTTTGAGACGGTTGCCCTCCGCACCCCTTCCCCAGAAATCCAGTCTGGCCGATTTGGACGAGGGAGTCCTGGCAGATGGCCTCGGCGGACTCATCTGCTACAGAACTGGTCACAAATGCGTTCAAATTCGACAACATGGCCCTAACACTGACCATGAGCGCTACGAGTCGACCCACTCGGGCCACAACACAATCCAAACTTGCTGCAAGAGGACCCAGATGCCCCCACGACAGCCCAGTAGGGGGCCCCAATAGGCAACACAACATCAATGTTCCGAAGTGTGGTAGGTCATGTTCGCTTTCTCCAACTTTGATGGCTTTTGACAAACCGAAACGCCCCCTGACACCTCCCGACTGGATTTCACTGGGCCAAAAGTTCTCCAAAACAAATCCAGAAACAACAACAAAAACATCAACACGGATCCAAAAAGGCCCCGAAACGGCCCGAGAGGCCACCGAGAGGCCCACAAGTGGCCAAATGACGGCCCAGCCTCAAAGGCAGACTCACGCGCCCCCAAGGAGGGAACATCGAACTGGCCTTGGGAGACTTCTTCCCAAGAGTACCACCAAGCGGCCCCCAGACGTCTCTAAGAGGCCCCGCGAAACCCACAAGAACCCCCCGAAACATCCAAACAACAACATGATGTCTTGGGCCGCCTTGGGGCCGTCCTGGGCCCTCCTGAAGCCTTTTGGGGGCCGTCTTGGGGAGCGATGTCTGCCTCTCGGGGTCCTATTCGGCGCCATCCTGGAGCCCTGTGAAGCGATGTCGGGGGCCTCCTGGGACGTTTGGAACGTTTCCTGGGCTGCGTGGACCCCGTTCGAACCGTCTTGAACCGCGTAGGCGAAGATATCCCGCGAAAAGCTGCGCATCCACACCTGGGGGAGAGGGAGAGCGAGGGAGGAGGGGGACGTACTGGAATTGCGAGGGTTGGAAGCTGCACCACAGAAAGCACGGCGGCAAGCAGATGTCGATTGCAATGTTCGTGCGATCCGCACAATATGCACTACGCGCCAGCGCTGGAGCCAATCGGCGGCGGAGCGCCCCATTTAAGTCGGGATTGCGCGGGCGATCGAGCAGCTCTGGCAAAGAAGGGGGGCAAAGAAAAAGGGAAACCATACTCTTTAGACTAAGCAGGGATACCCCGTCGCTGTTTGACCTAGAGGCGCGCCGCGCGGCGGGGCGCAAGCTCGCTCTTTTGACGAGTGGCTCAAACGTGCTCCTTTGGAGCGGCACTGGAGGAACTCGCGCGCGTGAGCGATAGTGACGCGAGGTCTCCCTGGTCGCATCCGCGCATGTTGGTGACCTCGGGCCGCAGACCCGACGTCCGAAAGCCTGTCCGAAGACTCAAGCGAAGCGATGGCCCTGGGGTCGCGCCAAAGGCGAGGCGGAAATGCGATGGCGCCCTGGCCTGGCAAGTAAAAGCAGGTGGTTGAATGATGGGGAAAGACCACGAGGCATGCCCACCGCAATCAAGAAATGCGGGGGCCACTCCGGCCACGACTGAAGGCCACCTCCTCGCTGGAGGCGCCGGGGTCCTCAACCTCCTCAACCTCGGCGCTGCCCGCGGGCGAGGGATGACCCGGCTCGCCGGCGGCAGCCGCGCGGAGGGTTGCGCGTGCGCGCCGGCGCTGGACCTTGTCCCCCGCCCTGCGCGTTTCCTCCCTCTTCAGGTTGGGCTGGTCGGCGTCGGTCTCTTGAGGGCGTTCTTGCTCTCGTCCTCGCCCGTGCCCTTGCCCTTGCCATGTTCGGCGCGATCGCGGCGCGCCCGCGAGAGCCGGTGGGCGCTGCGGCCCCGGCCCTCGCCCAGAACGGGCGCTGCGCTGAGGACTGGGCAGCGCCGGTCTCCAGCTCTAGCAGCGAGCAGCACTGTCACTCGTCGAACACCGCCTAGGGGGGGGGGGGGGCGCGTGGCACGCGCTGACCCTGGGGCACTGGGGATCGCGATGGCCGCGGCGTCGGCGGCGCTGGCCTCCCGGGACCCGGCGGGCCGCTCTTAGAAGAGGGCGTGCCAGGGGGCGACTAATCGAAGGTCGGGAGAGAGTCGCCCGAACTCTGGCCGCGAGCCGAAATTGGTGAATGCCCAGCATTGGCAGCGCTCGGCCCTGTCTTGCGCGGCCCGCGAAGCCCGCGCGGCGGACAGCTTGGCGCTGCGGATGACACGCATACAGTCAAGCGACTTGTTGTCGCACAACGGCTGCGCGTCGCTCACCAAGCCCGCAGCCCGACGAGCATCGCAAGCGAAAGCCGCGCGCACCCCCGGCTCAACGACCTGCGCTGCGCACGAACTCCGGTGAATCAACGCCTCGGGGATCGGCGTCGCTGACGCGCAACTTCAGAATGAAGTCAAGAATTTCGGCGTCGCTCTTGCCGAATGTAGGGGGGCGTGGATCTTCCGCGAGCCCCGAAGGCGGCGCGTCGGGGGGCGGCGGGCCTCTTGGCGGAGCCGGTACGGAAGTCGCGCCGGTGGGCAGCATCCGCGCGCAGGACGCGGCGGCCGCACGCTGCGCGGCGCCCGAAAGGGGGCGGCGGGCGAGAGCGGGGCCGAGGAGTTGCTTCAATCATGAACACGACCGTGACCTCGAGCAACACCTAGATTTGAGATGATGCGCGAGACGCGGCCTTCCACCTGGGGCTGCTGCAACTGTCGCTGTAAATGACGCGCGCGCTCCTGCCTTCGGGGGGGCATCGTCGGGGGCGCCCCGCGAGGGCGACCGTGGCCGGCCTGGCCTGCGGGACGGGACGCGCTGACCATATGCCAGGAGAGGGCGTCGGATGTCGAGCGCGTGGTTTGGCTCGAACTGTGGACGTCGCGAGCGCCGCGTCGCCTGATGGCGGCGCTTCTTCCGCGGGCGATAGCGTCGCAGAGGGCGCGGTCCGCGATCGGCCCGGAGGCGGCGGCGCAGAAGGCCCCGGCGGTTGACTTCGTGGCGCGCCGGCACGCGCGCGCGGCAGCGGGCAGCCACCAACGCACGTCGACGCGCGTCGGATGCCCACGCGCGTGCCAGACGGCGCGCGAGGCACGAGCGGCAGCCCGGCGCGATCCAGCCGGGCGGCGCACAAGCCTGCAGGAAACGGCAGCGGCATCGTGCACTTTCAGTCCTGCATATCACGACTATCACGACTACTCTCATCCCGAGCATCCGCGCGCATGCGCGCCCGCGAGCGCCTCAGCGCTTGCTGAAGATGACGAGACTCCTGCCGATGTCACCCCTCCTGCACTGCCGCGCCGCAAATTGACGAATCTTCCGAGATAAGGATGCGAAGAGAAGGATTTCTTCAAGGGGGGCGAAACACGAAACCATCCACGAAAATACGAAAATACGAAAGACGGCTGGCGCTAATGACATGATGGCGCAGTGCGCTTGCCGGCCGATGCGAAGGCAACGGCGCGCGGTGCGCGGCCGCTGGCGAAGGCACCGGCCGCGTCGTGGAGTGCCGATATATCGGCGCAGCCCTCGGTCAGCCCATCCGCGATCATATCTCGTGTGTCATATCTCGTGTGTCTTCCCAGCTGAGGGCCCAGAGTTGGCCCGAGCTTGAATCTCTCTTTGGCGACGTGATGCATCAAGGCATCGAGTCCCTTTGAGTATCTAGTGAAGAATGGTGGCTAGGGAGAGGCCGTGATCTGTCGGACTGATCGCGCCATCAGCTCACTTGCGAGTGTTCTTCGTGTCGTCGCTGCGCAGAGGACTTGTGGCAGCAGGAATGATGGGACTGGTTGGGACTTATAACGTCCCCTCGAATGTGGCCGACTCTGAGAGAATCCTTCATGACTGCCCGTTGGTCTTGTGCCAAGGAGGCCCTCCACGCGGTGCCCAATTATCAGGTCTTGGTGGCTCAAAGAGCCTTCGCATGGCCACTCTTCACTGGTGGACTGCCTTCCGTCGTCATGCGTGGGACCGTCGGGGCGCGCGCCGGCTTCGCATGATTCGGCGCCACCCCCTTTAGCACCTGCCACTTGCAGCTCATCTTCGACGAGGTCTCCGACGCACCGTCCGGCTACATCCCAAAGTATGAACAAAGACGCCACGTCGTGCTGCGGTCGGAAACGAGGAGCCTAACGAGACTTAGTCTGCCAGCCTCGAAGCTCCACCAGGTCTTCACTTCGCGATGGCCCTGTCGCCGCCATGCCAGGGGTGATGCGTCTCGACTTTTTCCTGTCGCGATGCGCTTGAGGACGCTGTCGACTTGAACGGCCGCGAAGATGTTGTTGTAGACACCCTGGGCAAACTACTAGGTCGCTCAATGCCGCAATGCACCTCGCGGCGGCGATGGCAGCGACCGCGCCGGCGCCGGCGAGGCCAGAGCCCTGGTAGGTCTTCCCCGATAGGCTCATGAAGCGCTGCTCTTCCAGCACCCATGCCTGACCACTCCATAGACCCACCGCCAAAGTCCGTGAATCGTCGTGCATTGCCAAGGCTTCATATAGTTTCGGCGCCTCGGTAGTTGATGACCACGGTGCCTTGTTGAGCACTCATCTCGAAGTCTGCGGCTGGGCCATTCCGCCCGCTCAGATCCGCGGTGGATGGGGCTCAATAGACGACGACCAGCTCGCCTGGTGCGCATTCCAAGGCCTGTCCCACGGCTGTGGCTCTGGCCTCCGAGGGCTGATTCGAGATGGCCGAAGCGTCCGCGATCCGTTGCAAGGCGATCTCTTTGAGCTGGCGCAATTTGCGGGCAACTCTGGATGCTCCAACCACGAGTGCCAACATGTCTGGCAACATCGGCGGTTGTCGCCCAAAGAGGGCGCGGCATG